TCAAACCCTAGCTCCAAGGCTTTTAAACTCTTTCATCTTGGATAGTTCATCTAATCAAACCTCAGGTGTTAAAAGAGTAGAAAATGATACCAATCATCTGATATATATCCTATCAGATACTTTCAGAAGAAGAATTCTTGGTCTCCAGACCTTGGCTTCTAAATAGAATTTTCCATGAAAAGGAGCTAGTGTTCCTTCAAGATAGGGATTATTCCAGGACTGGGAAGGTAAGTGAACACAGAGCACTTTTTTGTGTGTGCTGAAAAGGAAAAGAGTGTTCCAAGAATGGTGGGTACAGGCCAATGGACCCAGAAGCCAGACTGAAGCAGGGTGTGGGAACAAGGCTCAGTGAGGTCCTTGCATGTGGAATGCCAGGGTTCGATCCCCAGCATAACCAAAGGAAAAAGAAAAAAATAGAGAGGTCTCCAATAAGCCAAATCTGAGACAATTTCAGAAGCAAAATTAACATTACTAATGAATTATTACCCATGGATAAAATAAGAAACCATAAGAACATATTGTAGCACTGTAGCACTCTCCACCCATTGTTCATCGATTTGCTCGAGCGGGCACCAGTAATAAAACTTGTTGTTACTGTTTTTGACATATAGAATACACCACGGGGAGCGTGCCAGGCTCCGCCGTGAGGGCAGGATACTCTTGGTAGCTAGCCAGGCTCTCCGAGAGGGTCGGAGAAATTGAATCTGGGTCAGCCTCGTGCAAGGCAAACACCCTACCCACTGTGCTATTGCTGTAGCGTAAGAACTTACTGATATAAAATAATTTTTAAAAATCAACTTTCATATGGCCATCAACTGTTGCAATGATTGGATAGTTTCAAATAACAAAAGAGAATCATAGTTTCTAGCTGCAAAAGTGTGCCAGATACCGCCCTGATCAAGCCACCCCAGTGAATGGTCTGTGATGGGACCGTTGCACCAAGACCATTCAGTGCTATCCCCGCCAAAGATGCACCTAATCTCATCATGAGGGAGCAGAAGAGAAGCCCAGATCAACAAACAGTGGCAAAAGCAGTGTCCGGCCCTTGTGTTTCCAAAGTATAAAGGCAGTGTGACCGTCAGGAGGAACTGAGACCATGTGAAGGGGATGAAAGAATTGCAAACACTCAGCACCAGTGAAATTCTAGACAGGAGACTTTTGAGACGATCAAACAAGACTTGAATGATGTCTGGGAATTAGCCGGGAGTAATACAAACATACTCATTTTCTTTTTTTGCTTTTTGGGTCATACCTGGCGATGCACAGGTACTCCTGGCTCCGCACTCAGGAATTACCCCTGGAGATGCTCAGGGGACCAAATGGTATGTTGGGAATCAAACCCGGGTCGACTGCATGCAAGGCAAACGCCCTACCCACTGTGCTATTGCTCCAACCCCACTCATTTTCTGTCTGTGATTTTGATATTTCTGTGGAGGTTATTCAAATAATAACCACAATAAAAGTATTTGTAGGCAGTTACACACTCAAAGGTATTTGGGGATGATGGGAATCATGCCAGTAATGTATGTTGGAGGTGTGGGGGTCTTGGACCATGGAGGTTCTTGGGTGCTACTCCCGGCTTTGTGTGTAAAGGTCATTCCTTTGGTGATGCTTGGGAGAGATCATGGGTGCTGAGGGGAATCTAACTTGGATCTGCTGCATGCCAAGCCGACCTGTACTGTCTATGACCCCTGTTCTTCCACATTGTTCAGGGACAGATTTGTTACTGTTTTTGAATTGTAAAAAGAGAAAGATCTGGTTTTTCAGGGTTTACTTAATACAGTAATTAATTGTAAGCATGTTCTGCTGAGAATGTGTGACCGTGCTTGATATCTGGGTGCTGTGTGTGCATGCGTGCTGCTCTGACCATATGTTACAAACACGGAACCATTATGATCATCTGGTGTTCTAAGGCTAAACTCTCTAAACTCTCTGCCCCTTGCTTTCCCTCGTTGTACTTTGCTATACGTTTCTAGGTACCCTGTTGGGTGCTTCTAATCTTACTTGATGCGCTAGCATAGCTCAAAGACCTTGAAAATCTTGGTGTTATAACTAGTATTTAACTTTCTGTAGCTCTTGGCGATTCAAAATTCAGGAACATCAGACAGTCTGCGTTTAAAACAAGAGATTGTAAAGAACTTAATACACGAAGGTTAGGTGGAAGGATTTTTTCTTTTCTAAACTATAGTGTATTTATTTCTCTGATCGACTGGGAAGAAAATGGGGGCGGGGGGCTATTTGCATGAACTGGTTTTCCTGTGAACCATTCATCAAGCTAATACGAACTATAATCAATACCTGTTTCCTGGATACTACCCAGTAGCTCTCTGGCCCTGTAAATGGTTTCCAGCTATTAATCTGCGTTTGTAAACAGCCTAGTTCTGACAAGGCCAAGTGTGGGCGTCTGTTCCCCTGGGTGGGAGGGCAGAGGAGGGGCTGCGGCAAGTGTGTGGCCGGTCTGGGAGGACAGGAAATCACCTTTCACACAATTCCCAGAGTTTGGCCTGATCTGCCTCCTCCCCACCTGGTTTCCCCACAGGCGAGCTGGGTGCGCTGAGCGCAGGATACTCGAGGCAGTGGGGCAGTGGGTGACCGCTGAGACAGCTGCTCTGCCTTCAGGGTAGGGTCGCTCTGTGCTGGAAACTTCAGTGCTTCCCATTTCTAGGTAGATAACGGGTGGTGGCAGGAGAAATCCTGATGTCTGCCAGGGAGGCGGAGAAGGCTTCCTCACAAGGGTGGGAGAGATGTGTGTGTGTGTGTGTGTGTGTGTGTGCACGTGCACACACACGCACATGTATGTGTGGTATGTGGGGAGGCACATGTATGTGTGATGTGTGTATGTGTGATGTGTGTGTGTGGGCATATATATGCATGGTGTGTGTGGGGTGGGGCACATGTATGAGTAGTGTGTGTATGTGTGTGTGTGTGTGTGTGTAAGAGGACGAGACCAGGAAGGTACCCGGAGATGGCTATTTTATCAAAGAAACAATGTAGAAGGGCTGTGGGATTTTGTTGGTGGAGTGACTAGTAAATCAGAACTCTATTGTAACTGTGTTACCTCAACTACAAATGTTTTTGGAAAAAAAAAAAAAACAAAGTCGCCATCCCCAGAAACTGCACCAATACCTCTGCAAGCCAGACTGAGTGAGGACGTTGTCCTGAAGTCGCTGTCCCTGGCATGCCCACTGCAGTGACACGGCAGGTGGGGCCTGTGGGAAGCGAGTGTGTGACCATCGTGGTTGGGATGACTGCAGGCTTGCTCCCTTCCTGTAGCCTCGTGTTGGACTCACCTCCTCCTCTCCCGCCTGCCCTCACAAAAATAGCATGTTGGTAGCTCCTGTGCTTCGTCACTGTCACTGTCCCCCCATTGTTCATCGATTTGCTCGAGTGGGCACCAGCAACGTCTCCATTGTGACAACTGTTACTGTGTTTGGCATATCGAATACATCACGGGGAGCTTACCAGGCTTTGCTGTGCGGGCGAGATACTCTTGGGAGCTTGCCGGGCTCTCCGAGAGGGACGGAGGAATCGAACTCGGGTCGGCCATGTTGGCCGCTCACAAGGCAAATGCCCTACCCGCTGTGCTATGGCTCCAGCCCCTGTGCTTCATCAGGCTTTATTTTTCCTTACCCCATTTCCCAAAGAGTTTGATTTATTTATCTGATAGTTCACTGGTATATAAACTCTCTGGTACCAAGGACTCTTTAGATTTAGTTGTTTTTATTTGGGGTGGGGGTGTGGTCTACACTCTGGCAGTGCTCAGAGAACCAAGGGATGCTGGAGATTTGAACCAGGATTGCGGCCACAGTTGTATGCCAGCCAGGCATCTTATCTCCTTTACTCTCTCCTCAGGCCCAAAGACTCTCTCTTAAAGCTGCTTTTTCAGTTCCTTGTAATGTGTCACCTGTTCTTGGATGAATGAAGAGCAATACAGATGGGACGGAAATCTTGACCCTCGAGCCAGGATGTGGCATAGCAGCTGTAAAGCACACACACCTCGAATGCCCAGGGTCTAGGTTTAACCCCTGGTGCTGGAGGGAAAAACAAACAAACAAAAATTTATCCAAAGAACTTAGGAAACCATAAATCTGATATTCTTCGAAGGGATTCTTGGGGTGGCCAAGAGCTGCCTAAACACAGAGGGTTGGAGGAGTCTGAGGCACTGCAGAATAGCAACAACCTTTTAATGGGAAGGAACCCCTCTCAGCAGTGCTCAGGGGCCCCTGAGGCTATACCAAGGATCACTTGATCAACAAACAACTGGTCTGGCTCCAGTATGAGGGTCTGAAGATGCCCAACTGTGTGGCCCCTGTCGTGTTGGGGACCACCAGGGCCACCACACAATGCTCAGAGACCTCCAGGGCTACCCGGATGTGCTTTGTGTGATGCTGGCGATCAAACAGGGGTCCCACTTACTTGGTACCACTATCTCCCTGGGCCTAAGCCTTTTTAAATGAGATGGAAAATCCTTCTCCTTAAAACCCTATTCCCCCAACACACACACACACACACACACACACACACACACACAGACGTTTTTATATTGGGAAGGCACGACTCCTAACAATTCAATTTAAGGAAGTTGGAATTGACACCATGTTTACTAGGGAAAGAGAATGCTGGCAGGTCTTCCATCTCTAACAATATACAAAGAGAAAACCTGAAATCTCAAAGTTGGTATTTTCCTAAATTGCTCGGAGAATCCAAAACTGGCATCCATGTCCTGCAGAAAAATGCAGGATACACCACATGCCATCTCCAACTGCCCAGCACTGAGTCTAGGTGAATGGAAAGTACCAATGGCGGGGGGTGAATTCATCCACGAGGCTTATACAGACGAGGGTCCAGCCAGTGCAGGGGGAAGGAGCCATAAATTTGTCAGTCCTTACGTGTCCCGAGTCACTTGCCTTGAAACCACCTTGAATCACAGGAGGCACAGATGTATCTCAGGTATCTTAAAATGGATGTTTCTAGATTGTTCCCATTTGTTCCTATTGCAGGCAACCCAAACCTGCTATTATGGATAAGCGTGGAAAATTCAGTCGTGGTTCTCTTGCCTGGCATATGGGTGAATTTGAGAACGACAATGAACGAGATTCCAAATATGCAGTCCTCATTAAGCAGGATAGAGAGACCTTGCCACGGCTTTCCAGACCACCTAAGCAGCTCAAGCGAGCCAAAAGAGGAAGAGGAGGAGGACGAGGTGGAGGAGGTATGCTCATTTACATATCATCATAAAAATCAAGCTCTTTTAACATGAATTCGAGAATACTACTTAATAGCAATACAATAATGTTTTATAGCTCCTTTTAGTCTCTGTAAGCATTTTGTAATTTCTACTGGATTTCCAAAGTGATGATCATACAGTGGGTGGGTTGGTTACTCTAGTTACTGCTGATGAAAATAAGAGGTTGTGGGCTTCAGCTTTTAGGGAGGTTATTTATTGTACTGCTCAAACTGCAAAAATGACTAGATTCCTTTTGATCGCTAAAGACTGAAAAAGCTCCCACTCTATGGACCGTCTTGAAATCTACAACCCGCTCAAAATCTTACCAGGGAGTTAGCAGAGAAAGAACTACCACTTCCCTTTCAAGTTTTTTCCCCATTTTTGTTTATCTGGAGCAAAGTTACATAAAGTCCTCATGAGGGTTCTAATTAGAAAAGTGGGAATATTATTATCTGTTCTAAACATTTGCTAGGTATCATGACAGTCAAGTAAAGAATGTTTAATTATATATTCAAATCAACTACTATTTCCTAAGGGCCTTCTGCATAATCCCATAGAAAAATGGATGCCAGATTTCCCTATGAGTATGACGCAAATTTCCATGACAGAAGAAAGAACGTCTTGGTTAGGCAAAAAGATTTCTGAACTTCACTACATTGGATTTTTCTTGCTACAAAGGGTCTTTTCTTCTTCCTCCCCCCTCTGCAATGCTCAGGGGTTACTCCTGGCACTGCACTCAAGAATTACTCCAGGCGGTACTCAGGGGACCATATGGAACACCGGAATACCGGGGATCAGACCTGGGTGTGTGCAAAGCAAACATCCGCATCACTGTCCTATCGTTCAGGCCCCTACAAAGGGTGTTTAAATTGACATAACTCAGCATTGGTTAATCAGGCCTCTCATTACTTAAGGTAACTGGTTGTCTACCGAGTAGGCAAAATTTCTTGAATGGAGTAAAGGGTTGCCAGTGGAGCAGGGCCCTGGGCTGTGAATTCATGCTAGTCTGCAGGTATAAACTGGTTGAAAACTACATGCTTTATGCAATAGTGGCATTCCTGGAAAATCTAGCAAGGAATAAATTTATGTCAAAAGTATGCTGTTCTTTTATTTAAGTCAGAATTAAGTATCAGATAATTATAAGCAGGCTTTTTCAACTACACTGGTGTTCATTAGGACACACAAACATACACACACACACACACACACACACATACACACACCCTAGGCACTTTCACCCACCATTGTGCTAATCCAGAATGTCGCTCCATTTCCAAAACACGCCTGTTAAAATGTCACTGACATAAAGTGAACCCATGTTGGCATAAATTATCCATAACAAGACCTTTCAGTGTGATTCAGTGTAACAAATCATACCAATGCTAGGAAATGTTCAAGATAAATTCAAAAGTTTTATTGCACCAAAATGCCACAGAAAAAAAAATGGATCAAAGTAATACAAGAACAAGTTTTAAGAAAGATTTCCCCTATTGACATTGATACGTACATAACTGATCAAAAATATAAAGTCCTATCAATTTGTACGAATGGTGCTTCAATCATAACAAATCCCAATTTTCCCCCTTTATTGAAATACCACTTAAATTTAAGCATGTTTGAATTCTGCTTCCAAGTTATACAGTTTGCCAAATTTTGACATTTCAAAGTTGAATACACCGAGGGAACTGTCTGATTTGGGCAAATATTATATTAAAATATCCCCTTCTCCCAAACACAATAAAAAAAATGGTTCACATTTAGCAAGAGAAGCTAAAGCCTTTTCAATTTAATGGTGAAAATATGCATGAACAAAGTACTCTCAAAAGGACGTATTAGTGGAAAAATCCAGACATTTCAAAGAATTTGGGAGTCACTCTGTATTCTTTATTTTTATTATACAACTGCTAGTGAAGAACCTAGAAAGCTACAAACTAATTTTTTACAAAATCTCAGGACCTAATTTATAAGAGCCTAACAACAGTTTAGTATCATTTAGCAAGTGGGATTTTCCTCCCCTCCAAAAAAGTTAACTTTGAAAAAATATGGTAGGTTTTAAAAAGTTGTGATGTGTATGTAAACGGTGGTTCCATGGGCTGTGAAAAGATTATAGTTACTCTCATTAAAAAACAGCACACTCCAGAAAAATGGATTGAAGCCTGTACAAAAAGCTATTTAACACTGATAAAAATAAAATACTTTGGAATTATGCACAAGTATGGAAGCTAAGTTTTAATTTTTTCATTGTCATGTTTAAACATACACAACTAGCTTTTACATTCGCATCACTCATCAATCTATTAAAAAAAAAGTACAAACTGCAACAGGCTAGAAAGAGGCTGTCACAGGAACGCTCAACTGTCTGCTCTGTCAAGCCTCCCTAGCTGAGTTCCAAAAAAAAACAAAAAAGAAAGAAAACGCAAGAAGCTACAAACACTCAACAAGTAAGACTTAAAAGCGGAAGAAACCCTTAAGGTGGAATCTCCTGTCAACTGAGGTAGTTTTCTCTCTCTCTCTCTCTCCCTCTCTCTCTCTCTCTCTCTCTCTCTCTCTCTCTCTCTCACTCTCTTTCTCTCTCAATTTTTTTCCCATTTGAGGTGAATTTAGATGAGGGCGGGACCCCTCTCTCGCCTCTCCAGCTAACAGAGAATGAAGCCACGAGTAGGGGTTTCGCAGTGCAATTCCATGAGTTTCCTCTTTTTCTCTACTCTTGGGAAGAGGCTGGATTTAAGACAAACACAACTCGAATGTTCGTTGAAGGAGGGTTTTTTAAAAAAAAAAAAATAGAGCAGCGACATTCTTGGTCTGTTTTTGTAGGCAACAGACGGAGACTTGAGTTCTGACGGGAATTCTGAGTGCTGCCGGGACAAACCCCCACACGCTCTCCACCTGCAGGTATTTTTCTAAGAGTGTGTTCTAGAACATGAGAGGAAGAGGCAAAATCCAGTCTGCGGGGCTACATCTTTTTGCGACGGCGTTTGGAATCAGCTGTTTTCAGCCCCGCTCCCCTCAAAAGGAAATGCGTTTGATTTTCAACTTGCCTGTCAGCACCGAAGCGACTCTCTGTTTAGTTGTTGTCTGTGGAAACCCTGGAAGGTGGTTGAATGAGGGAAAGTGCCTAAAACGTGTAAACAAGGAACGGGGGACTAGTGACCCAGGGCTTCAGAGTGTGACGCTGGCCGTGACCACTTGCTCCTGTGGAATGAGGAGCAGAGACCAGAGAGCTGAGCTGTGGGCAGGCCCACAGGTACGGAGACACGACAATGGTGTGTGGGCCAGGACTAGGAGCAGTTCAAACACCAAACCAGGGGGTTACTAGACAGGACACAAAACTTCCATTTGATGAAAGACATCACATAAAAAATTAAAGACCTTGGGGCTGGAGCGAGAGCACAGCGGGTAGGGCGTTTGCCTTGCACGCGGCTGACCCGGGTTCGATTCCCAGCATCCCATATGGTCCCCCGAGCACCTCCAGGAGTAATTCCTGAGTGCATGAGCCAGGAGTAACCCCTGAGCAGCGCCGGGTGTGACCCAAAAAGAAAAAAAAAAATTAAAGACCTTAAGAGCTTTGATAACTTCCCTCGACATTTCACATGGTGAAACAAAAGAGGGAAAAGACACCGTGGACCTGTGCCTCAGAAAGAAAATGCTCCTTTTCCTCCAGTGGAACTCACTCGGCTCTCGTCTTTCAAACTGATGGCTGCCCTGTGCTTGCTCAAGAATAAAGAGATAGACTTCTGGAACTTGGCGTTCAGTTCAGGATGAGGAATTTTATCGAACAGGAAATGTGAAGTCCTTCTAAGCCCCAGAAGGGCAGGTACTTTATATCCTTGGGTACAGTGGATACATGGGAAGGACGGGAATAAGTGTATAGAGCAGTGAAGGGAAATCAGGCTGGGTTAGAATGAACTCAGGAATGGCCAAGTGCTCATAATGTTTTTGCTTTCCTGGACTGGCTCGTCTTTTAACGATAATCAACAGCTTCAAGTCTTTTTTGTTTACCCTGAATGCCAGCACATAGTGTGTTTCATGGTCAGTAAACTAGGCTTTTAACAGAAAATTTAAATATGTGTGTGTGTGTGTGTGTGTATGTGTGTGTGTGTGTGTGTATTTAAGTGAGCTACGTTAATAAGCAACTCTTCATTTTGGCAGCTTTCATATCTTGGGAACGTCAAATTTCTGCAAAGGTATTTTCAAAAGTACATCAAAGGCACAGAGATGATAATGTACAAATTTAGGTTACATATGAATTGTTGGTCAATATTCAAATGGATAACCTTCATTCATCACCCCAAAATTGCTGTAAGGTTTCATCTGCTACCTGCACAGTCATGCCTCTTGAAGTATCATCTCATGTATTAACTACTATGAGGAGAAAGTGGAGTCCGCTGGAGGAATCAGCAACAGAAACTCTCTTGAGTCGACAGAAACAACTTTGGTAAATGGCCTCTCCTACAAAGGCTGCTGAGAGCCCTAAAGCAGAGGGTAAAACACAGGGCATCAGATCGCACACTCTAGAAAACTACGTCTTGATGGGGTTAAGATGCTACATCAGTTCTGGGGTCGACTGCACCAGCACACCCGTCTGGAACCCATCCGCGGCTGCGTCTGTCAACTCGGCAGAGACACGAACACAGTGGGGACCCAAGACCAGGGTCTCTTCCCAGCACTCCGGCTTCTCTCATGTCGCAGGCCAGGCAGCAACGTGCAGCATCGCCAGAGCTGGGGATGGCACAGGGTGGCTCCTTTTAATTCACCTTTCATGCAAAAGCAAAGTCTGACCCAGAGTCACAAGTCCTTATTCTGGTTTTCTCTCCGGCTTGGAGAAGCTCATGCCTCCAAGTGGGCAACCTCTCCTTAGTGGAATGGGGTCTGTCTGGGGCTCGGTCATGGTCACGTGGGAGGAATTCCTCCCAGTTGCCCCAGCCGGCCTGTACCCGTGGCTGAGCGTTCCGCAGAGTGCCTGTGTGCTCCCCTGCCACAAAGGCCACGCTCTCTGTGATTCCCCGGTGACGAAAGGCCTAAAGTAGTCATAAGAATCACAAATGCTGCTCTGTTAGGTAAATCCAAGGTGTCCAAGGTCAACCCAGAGGCGCACCCGCGTGAAAGCAACAAACAGCGGTGGAATGACGGCTTGCCCTTCTCGTGCTCTGGCTGTCACCGAGGGCGTATTCCTTTCTCTCTCCTTCGGTCGAGAGTCTCATTTTATTTATTTTTTCTTCCAAGGAAGAACTGCCCTGAGCTTTAGCTTATAAGAGTATCTGCGCGACGTACGGAGAATGAGTACTGGCGATCGCGGTCAGGAGCGGCAGGTCATTCGATTCGATTCTGAACATGGGGGAGGGGAGAACAACAACGACAACAACACAACAATTTTACTTTTGAACACAGTGTGACTTTTACAGAAAATGTTCTTGCTAAGTCCTCAGCTTGCTAGAGCTTTGCTGAAAACTTTTGCCAAAGCAAAAGGGCGGGGGAGATGACCAACTTGTTCCTTTCGTATGCTCTCTGCAGTCATACCGGCGCTGGATCTAGACAGAAGCTGGAAGTGTCCGATGTAGGCATGAGACACAAAGCCCAGCCTCCTGAGAGGGGCCACCTGACTGTAAGTGTCCCCCTTCCCTGGATTCCCTGTCTCCGGGGTCCCTCCCCATTCCTCCAGCCCCCTCTCCCCAAGTCTGCAGCTGCATGTGAAGCAGTCTTGGGGAAAACACCGTGGTGATTTTCAGAAACCTTGGGGCTTTGTTCAAGGACTCAGAGACACAACTTAGAGACTGGCACTCTGCGAGGGAAGCTTCTCTAACAGACTCCAGATCTAGGGACAAAGCTCAATGGAAGACTTGGAACAGCTGCCTCCCTTAACAGCAGAAATGTTGCCAAGGGTTGGGAAAAGGTTAGGACCTCTTGGGCGTCACGAGGGCTACCTTAACACAGAGACCTTAAAGAGAACTGAAAAAAGGAAGGGAGCCAGCAATACTCAAGGGTACTACTCTCCACAGATCTCACTTCCTTTTTCTCCAGCCATTTTGGCAGCCAGAGCTGCTCAGGTTGGCGGACCAGGAGCCCACTAACAATGTACTAAGCAAGAGGGCTTAGAGATGAGGAAGGTGGAGATAGCCTCCCTAGGATCTGTCCCGGAGAGTCACACATGGACACCAGTCAGAGTCAGGGACTTGGGAACCGTCCTAGAAATTTAAGGGACACTCTTAGCAATGGCAGCCTAGTGAGGCCAGTCTATGAGTATGGTAGAGCGAGCCAGATACAAGGGAGACTGAAACCTGACAGAGGATGAGCTGCAAGCTACCTATGAGAGCAAAGGCCTCAAAAAAAAAAAAAAAGGAAAATGTTTTTAAGTGAAGTAAGCAAGACAAATGTGACAGGAAATGCTAAGGGCCACATCATGGAATAAGTCATATCCTGGTTGTGAGGCTGAAATGGACAACAAAGCAAAGGGCTGAGGCTTGAGATAATAATGATGGCTAGCAAGCTTGAGGGAGGATTTCAAGGTGGATATTATATACACCGTATTTTCTTTTTTGTTTTTTATGGTTCTTGTTTGGGGACACATCTGACTGTCCTAGGGCTCGCTCTTGGTTGTGCATTCTGACATCACCCCTGGATGGCTCAGGGAGCCATCTGGGGTATCAGGGATTGAACCTGTGTCAGGTGTGAGCAAAGCCAGCACCCTGCCCTCTGCACTATCTATACTCTCTTCCAGTCCCGACACTCTTATTTTCTTGCCTCAACTGAGGAGGAATTGTCATCACTGGACAACTGTCCCTAGGAATAATGCCTTTTTTAATTCTTTGTTTGCAAAATTAAGTTGTAAAACAAAAGTCAGACTTTTTTTTTTCTAAGAGAAGTGGCGGCAAAGGCAGATGAAATATTTTATTTCTAACAGAAGCCCAGCTCTTCTGTGGACTTCTAATGAAAGGGAGGAAAGGACTCACCCCACTGGTTTATTTAACATTCGGACACCAGCACTGTGGTTTGGGTTCATTAAGTCAGAGCCAAGAGTGAGCCCCCGATGGTACACATCGGTGTGATCGTGCTAAAGTTCAGGTGCAAAGCTACCCAGAACACTATAAGGAACATGTAGTTGCTCAGGAAGAGGCCCACGCTGATAGGCCTAGAGACTTCTGTGGTTTAGGGGGCAAAGGGGGTACAGTGCCAGTGGACACCTTAGCCTAAGGAGAAACAATGTCACTTGACAAAACTCACCCCAGCACGACACCTAACTCCTTCACGTGGACTCGGGTGTGCCCTCGGAGATACTCAGACAGCATCTTGCTTTTAAGGTACATTTCCTGGAGTCTGTCTTCCAGATGCATGACGCACTGCAAAGCCAGCGACATTCAGAGTGAGGGACGAGAATCTCAGTTCTACCAACACGAAAGCTAGGACTCGAATTCATTCCAAAACATATTGCTATCAGCTCACCTCTTTCACATACACTGACTCAGACTTTAAGCAGAAGTCTAGCATTTAGGAAAACAAGTTCACCTTTTTTCAGTAACTTTTTGAGATTCATCTATATCATCTAGTTTTTGTTGTTGTTTTTTTAAGTTTTTCCACATAGTTCAAATTCTTCTTCTTTTTCTTCTTCTTCTTCTTTTTTTTTTTTTGGCCACACCTGGCTAACTCCTGGCTCTGTGCTCAAGGATCACTCACTCCTGGCAGGGCTTAAGGGATTTCATAGGGGGCTGGGGTTCAAACCTGGTTTGGCCACATGTGAGGCAAGCACCTTACCTGCTGTCCTATCTCGCTGGCCCTTGAATTATTTTTTAAATGCAATAATTTCCTTAAACTTTCTAATAATTTTTTGCCATATTATTAAAAATTATTTTTCAATGTAATTTTTATGATCAGTTTGAGACTGATATTAGCATTTTTTAAAATCTGTTCATTTTGTGCCACACCTGGTGGTGCCCAGGGGTTACTCCTGGCTTTGCACTTGAAATCACTCCTACTTGCTGGGCAGACCATATAGGATACTGGGGAGCAAACCCGGGACAGCCATGTGTAAGGCAAGTACCCTACCTGTTGTACTACTGCTCTGCTGCTTTAGTGTTATTTTCTAGACTACACACCAATCTGCATTTTTGAAGTTATTTTTAAATTAATTAATTAATGAGCATCACGTCTGGCGATGCAGGTGCTACTCCTGTTTCTGCACTCAGGCATTACTCCTGGCAATGCTAGGAGACCATACGGGATGCCGGGGATTAAACCAGGGGTGGCCGCATGGAAGGCAAATACTCTACCCACTGCACTATCACTCTGGCCCCAATCTGCATTCATGTTTCTAGAAATAACAACATATAGAACAGCATTTGTGGCTATTATTTGCCTTAATTGGATTATCTTGGTATAATACATTCCCAGAAATAGAATTAATGTCAAAGGTTATTTCAAACCTTTTTTTTTTTTCACCACAAACATGTTTTTTTAAACCTGGTCATAAATAACAATACAGAAAAGGAGATTATTTCCAGGATATTTATTCCCCGGGACTTGTGGCGAATTTAATTTCCTTTTCTATTTTTTTTTTCCTTTTTTGGTCACACCCATCGATGCACAGGGATTACTCCTGGCTCTGCACTCAGGAATTACTCCTGGCGGTGTTAAGGGGGCCACATGGGATGCTGGGAATCCAACCTGGGTCAGCCACACTACCGCTGTACTATCGCTCCAGCCCCTTTATTTCCTTTTTAAGAGAATAGCAACCCCCTGTGTCTTCCCAAGGAGGCGGCCTTTGCCTCAGGCAGGCAGTGCTCCCTCAGAACCTTCAGGGAGACACGTGAGGCTCAGGCAAGGCTGGCTCCAGCAGACACAAATTTCTTCTACACCATTAAATTCCCCTGATTCCCCACATAAAAAGATTAACAGAGGCCTTTGAATATGCTCCTCTTGACCATCTGGGCTGATGGGCAACACGGAAAACAAATCTATTACAGCTGCAATCCTTCCGGTTTCTCATTGGCTTAAGATCTTACACGCATTCTGTTGGCTAACGAAACCCAACGGGTAAGTGACTTAGAGAGATAATCAAGGCAGATTTCACCAACTCTCATGAACATGTTGCCCCAACTAAACAGATTGAAGTGATGTAATGATCTCTTAAGTTTCAGTGCCTTATGGAGAAAACACGAAAATTTTTAGGGAGTGAAATATTTTAAAAATGGAATTCTTTATCTTTTAGTGTTTTGTCAGCCACCGGGAAAGCTGTACATTGCAATGTGAAAACAAAACACTGGACTTTTGGATAAGGAATGCATAGAAACTGAGAATCAAAAGAGAATTGCTCTGGGTTTCTCTTCTCCGTTTACAGGGATTTTATTCCTGACATGGATTTAAAAAATTAGAAAGTATTTAATTCGTGGTATTTCAGAAAGTTACGTTTTTCTTTCCTACTAGAGGCCCTAACAGCCATTGAATCATGTGCTTCACTCAAGTTCTTTTTTTAGGAGAATTTTAAATTGCAGATAAAATTTCCTTTGATCTTGGTTTTGTCAGGTTATACAAATCATTCATATTAAGTGGTTAAACATGCTTTTGTCCAATGAAGTGTAAAAAGACTATTGGCTATAGTAATTTATTAGATAACTAAGATGTAAAATTTAACATGTGCTACATATTATAGAATACAAAAATTTGGTAATAAGTATTTAAATAATAATAGGGGAAAGGTGTAAGTTCTAGTATATCTTTCTTCCCTCACAGACATGGCAACTTCGGCCTGTGAATCAGTAGGATGCAGCCTGTTTTCTAAGAAGAAAAACTGCCTAGAAATGTGGAACAGAAATAAGATCCTGATACCCCCCAGTGCATATCCTATTACCTCGGGAACAGATATTCCATAAGGGAGCTTCCATTTACAGCCCAAATAAAGACTCTAGAGAGAAAAGGTGTCATCAGTCTTTATACTCCTTGTTTCATGAAACGATCACGAAAACAATTTTAATAGCTGTTTCCTGTGCATTTATAACTTTAAACACGGCTACAAGTGGTTTGCATGAATTCCTGAAAATTTTCATAACCACAGGACATAGATTCTGTCGCTCCCCGCGGCTTTGCAGGGAACTGGAGGTTCCCAAGTAGCAGAGCATGACTGAGCACTGGGAGCTGGAATGGCCTAGCCCGGCACTTTGAGGGGTCACAGAGCGGTACCCTGGGGCCACTCTTCTGAGGCTCTCGGCTGGACAGGCACTGCCTTTTATGACCCGAGGCACTTGGGGCTGCCCACCATCATGCTAGTCCCCATTGGGGAAGCCTGGACCATTTTTTTTGGGGGGGGGGAGAGGACTTGGGGCACAGCCAGCAGTACTCAAGGGAACCATATGTGGTGCCAGTGATTCCAATCAGGGTCACCTGCGTGCAAGGCAAAGGATGCTCTTGCAGCCCCAGAGCCTGCACTTGAACCCAGCTTGACGCAGCGCTCCCTGCCACCACTTGGCCCTCACCCAGAGAGCAGTCCCAGGGCACGCTTTTGGGCTCTTATTCTTACAGCCTCAACTGCTCATGAGGAGTATGGGGCTCTCTCCATCCTCTGTGCAGATCAGAGGAGAGAATGCAAGTTTAGGAATGGGCTGGCACGATGGCCCCTGAGCCAGAGAAGAAAGACACAGTGCCCTCAGAGGCTGGCTGGCTTATCAGGATCGAATTTCCCAAGGATGATTCTGCACGGTCTTTCGGCCTTTCATATGCAGCCCCCACCCCATCCCCACCCCACCCCACTCCGCCCAGGCCTGGCTCTCTCACTGTGTCAGGGCTGGGCTCCAGGACCTGACATCTACGTTTGTGCCAGTTTCACGATGCATTCCGTTCCCTCCTCCTGCCAACACCCAATTATAACGGAAGCAAAACAAAGCCCTGGAATCTGTGATTTTTTTATATTCATTCAACTACGGGTCAATGAACTGCGTGTCTTGTGAACTGCATCTCCCCTCCTCCCCCCTCCCCAGTGATCTGAGAACAGATACTCACAAAATCAGCAGGGAGGTGAAGTTTGTAAAGTTGCAAAATGGACTGAAGTAAACTGGACACCTGGCTGGAGACCAGGACGTCCTGGCCTAGTTTCATGCTGTCCATCACCTTCCTCTGGCTTGTGGCGACCTGTACGCTCCACTTATCTGTGTCGGCGATGATACAGACGGCCTCAGCGATTGGCTCATCCAGCACCGGATGCTGCAAAATTGAGAAGCGTAATTGGTCAGCTTTCCCCACACCCAGTATGGTTCTCCTGAACATTGGACGAATGGCTCAGAAGATGACTCTGGGAGCTAGAGAAACGTAGAGCTTTTGAAAAAAATCACAAATCACAAATCATCCTGTTATTCGTCGATTGCCTCGAGCAGGCCCCAGTAACGTCTCTTTCATCCCAGCCCTGAGATTATATTCAAGGCTCTTTAGGAGAACGAGACCCATCATTGTTACTGGTATTTGGCATATTGGGTATGCCACGAGGAGTTTGCCAGACTCTGCCGTGTGGGCAGGCTACATTCGGTAGCCTGCCAGTTTGTCCAAAGTAGGAATGAGATAATAAGATGTCATAATAATAAGAGCTTTTGAAAGAGGGACTAAAATAAGAGAATCATTTAAAAAAAGGGATCATTAAAAAATAATGTGATTAGAGATTGGAGCAATTACATTTCACTTTCTCAAGACCACAACTCTACTGGACATTATAATAAAGTGTCAGATTCTACTGCCGTTTTTCTTTTAACAAGGTTAGACTGGAATATTCAGCATTACTTTTAAGTTATAGCTGGAATCACAAGCAATATTTAGTTAGTACTAGGTGTGACATAAATCTAGTCCCCAAGCTAGCTATCAATCAGACGTCGAAGTGAATTTATTTATCGAAATGCGTTCAAGTATTCAAAACTATGGCGCCTGGATGAAATATTCAAAATGCAAAAATCCTTACATATCAGTGCCTCAAAATGAAGGGGGAAACAAACATCCGGGACCTGAGAGCAGGTATAGTGGGTAAGGTACTTGCCTTGTACACAGCTGACCCGGGTTTGTTCCCCAACACCCCACAGAGTGCAGAGCCAGGAGTAAGCCCTGAGGACTGCAGGGTGTGGCCTCAAGGCCCAAATTCAACCAAACAGGAAGAGCCTGATCCTTGGATGAGAGAGGAAGGCACTTGCCTTTTCAAAGCTAAAGTGTAACTTCACCAGTGCTGAGACACACACTCAGGATGCACCAGGTGGACACAATGACACCACGAGTGCATGGACGGAGTATGCATGAAGAATGGAGACAGACTAGAGACCCAAAGCACCTGTGTGTATGCTCATCACCACCCCCACCCCCAGGCCCTCTTGGCAGAGGGAAACTAGAGCCAGCCACCTTCTCTGATTCAACCCCTTCTTCTTCCCTGGGGCGGGGGTGGGAGTGCCCGACCTCTACCCAGATGTGCTGACTCAAGCCCAGAGAGTCAACAAGAGGCTCTTTCCTGGGACTTCCCAGCAGGATGGGAGGTCGGAAACAGCAGCCGCCATCCTTTTCCTGCATGGTTCGCCATGAACCCAGACACCTGAGGGGAGTTAGTTCCTGGGCCTACAGCACTGCCTCATGTCTCGATTGACTATTTCCAGTCTAGTGTCTGAAGTGCTAACTATGGATTCTCCGAGCTCACTTTATGGAGTCCTCCTGCCTAAGTGAGCAAGAGTGGGGGTTCTGCTGTCTGCAATGAAGGAACTTGGATGCACACGCTAGGCAGGGGACAATGGTCACCAGAGAGTTTAAAAAATGAACACACTGGAGGCCAGACCAATAGTGTAACAGGTAGGACATTTGCCTTGCACGCGGTCAACCTGAGTTCGATCCCCAGCATCCCATATGGTTCCCTGAACACCGCCAGGAGTGATTCCTGAGTGTAGAGCCAGGAGTAACCCCTGAGCATCACCGGATGTGACCCAAAAAAAACCAATAAAAGAAATAAAATGAATGTAATGAAGTGAGAAGGCTGCAGACAGAACCCAAACATGAGCCTCACAGCTGGTTTTGCTCCTCACAGAGGCGAGGCAGGGACAGGCAAGGCTGCATGAAAACTTTGTAGGAACAATGATTTTTCCAAGGGGGAAATACCTAGGTTGAGAAAATTTCCCCTTCGGGGGGGGGGGGGGGGTGGGACAGAGGGGAATAGGAAACCAAGTCTTAATGTCACTGGGGCAAAGTGCCATCCTAGGTAGAGATTGGAAGAAAAAACAAGACAAATGCCCGAGGGCTGGGACAGACAGACAGGGATGGAAATGGTCCATCCTCTGGGAGCAGAATCGCTTCTCCCAGCAGTTTTCGCCCTTAGCACAGGAAATGGCATTTGAAAAATGTTGGTGCTCGGTCAATCCCAGTGAAACAGGCTAAGCGGCAATGACAGAGCTGACGCGGCATCCTGCATTCCCCAGCACTACACAGGATTATTTTACCAACATCAGCTCCAGGAACAGATGAGAACCTGCCTGATATTTTCAGAGGGTGCTGATGTGCTTGAAGTGGGGGGGGGGGGCGAGGGGGGCGCCCAGGAAATCTAGTTTGTCTAATTGGTCCTTTAGAAAGCGGGGAGAGGAGAGTCTGGCATGAGAGTTTCCCATGGAGAGAGGGAAAAGAAGATTTTTTATCACCCATGAAGTGCATGTGGTCCAAGATCAAAGGACAGCTGAAGGGACAGGGAGCCAAGGGTTAGGGGCCTGGAGCCCAGAGGCCCAGGGACATGACAGCATGTGTCAGCGGCCAGGAGGACAGCGGGGAGGTGGAGGGACAGGACCAGAGAGAGGCAGTGTGGACAGAGGGGCAGACCCAGATAAGAGAGGGCTATACACCAATGACAGCATCCACAGGAATCAGTGAGGAACTAGCTTGAGGCCCGGTCAGAACATATTGGGGGACCCCAAACTCCTGAAGGCTGTTATCAATACCGATATCGAAGACTTCATAAGCAGCTAGAGTTGTGCATACTAATTCTCCATACGCTGTGAATGGGCCTCCTCAGGAATTAACCCATTTTCTTTTCTGTTTTTGTTTTTGGGCCACACCCAGTGGTGCTCAGGAGTTACTCCTGGCTCTGTGCTCAGGACTGAGCTGTGCTCGGGGAAACCATATATGGTGCTGGGGAGAGCGGCCATGTGCAAGGTTAGTACCTTACCTGCTGTGCTATCCATCTGGTCCCAAGAATAAACCCATTTCTCACTGAATAGTAAAGGTAAAGGTAAAGGCCCTCCCGTTGATCGTCGATTTGCTCGAGCAGGCCCAGTAACGTCTCCATTGGAGACTCTGTTGTTACTGTGTTTGGCATATCGAATACGTCACGGGGAGCTTGCCAGGCTCTGCCGTGCGGGCGAGATACTCTCGGTAGCTTGCCGGGCTCTCCGAGAGGGGCGGAGGAATCGAACTTGGGTCGGCCATGTTGGCCGCTTGTAAGGCAAACGCCCTACCCACTGTGCTATTGCTCCAGCCCCTGAATAGTACCTTAAAAAAAAATCTTCAAGAATGACTTTCTCAGGCTACCAAATACTCAAGGCAAAATTCCCTGCAGGGACATCCAATGGCCACTAATGAACGAATCACTTGGTAGGTCTTGGCTTATTTACTGAATCAACACTTTTTAAAAGAGGGCCGGCAAGCAAAAGGAAATGTAAATAGTTAAAAAAAAAAAAAAAGACAGGAATGCTGGCGAGGGATAAAAATACCACCAGCAGCAAATATTCGGTTTCATTTCAGGGCCACCTGGGGGCAGCTCAGCCGGATCTACTCTCCACTTCCTCCACGCCAGTGCTCAGGCTTTTTAACTCCCCGTGATTCTGAGGTTCCTCTCCAAAGCAAACACAACCTCCCCGAAGAGAGGGCAGATTAAACATATTTATGATTTGGCTTATCAGTCCATCTCTCAGCTCATAGAATGTAAAGAACTCGAGGATCCCAAAAGTCATGTTTGCGTTTGTCATAGAAACACTCCCCTACTCACACACACACTCCACCACCTAGTACCTGGTATTCAAAATAAAATTCTTTTAGAAAACACTTACATACACACATACATATGTGTGTGCGCGTACATAATATATGTGTGTGTGTGTGTGTGTGTGTGTACACACACATATACAGAGAGAGAAAGAGAGAGGAAGGAGAGAGGGAGAGAGAGAGGAAAAGTGTCTGCCATAGAGCAGGCTGGGGAGGGGGACGGAGGGCAGGAGGGAGGGAAACTAGGACATTGGTGGCAGGAAATGCGCATTGATGAAGGAATGGGTGTGGAACTTCGCATGACTGAAACTCAAACATGAACAACTTTGTTACTGTGTATCTCACGGTGATTCAACAAAAAAAACAAATTTAAAAGAATATATATGTAATACATTAAAAATGAAAAGAAAACAGATTCTTCTTAAAGTTACGCCTTGTTAAATGTTTTGCTTTTGGCTCACTCTCAGCAATGCTCAGGAGCTACTCTTCGCTCTGTGCGAGGGCTCTGGGGGTCCGCTCTGGGGGGTAAATGGAGGGTGGTTCTGCTCAGGGCAGTGCTGGGGAAACCCACAGAGCCCCAAGTTAAGCTTTTTTCAGCATTGTTGGATGCAGCATTTCCTGGCTTTTTTTTTTCCTGTAAAAACCCTGTAGAAACCTCTGTCCCTCTCAGAGAGCCTGGTGAGCTACCAAGGGTATCCCACCCGCACGGCAGAGTCTGGCAAGCTACCTGTGGCATATTCGATAAACAGTACCAATAACGGGTCTCATTCCCCTGACCCTGGAAGAGCCTCCAATATAGAGCCTCTCCAAGCAGAGTTGGGAAAGACGAGAGGGGAGGCTGTAAAAATCTCAGGGCTGGGGCGAATGGAGACGTTACTGGCACCTGCTCGAGCAAGGTGATGAACAATGGGATGACAGTGCACTGCAGTGCTACCATTAGAAAAAGAAAACAAAGATAATCTTCACTGTGCATTGGCAAAGGCTCTCCCAACACTACTGACTCAACACACATACTCTCTTGGGCTTGAGTTCTGAGTGAGAATCTGAAATATTAAAACAGGCATTTTTACTTTAAATGCTTGTTTGAGGGCTGGAGAGATAGCACAGTGGGTAGGGCATTTGCCTTGCACACGACCGACCCGGGTTTGATTCCCAGCATTCCATATGGTCCCCTGAGCACCGCCAGGAGTAACTCCTGAGTGTAGAGCCAGGAGTAACCC